GCAGTGGGGGGCCAGACAAGCTGCTGCCCTGACCCACCCTAGCCAGCTCCCCCTTTGACTGACCCCCCAATAAACGGATCCCATGCTCTCCTCGGCAAAAAAGAACATGATGTGATTATAGAGGCATGCTTATAGGATCAAGTGGTATAAAATACAGATGTAACAGGACAATAAAGAGAGAACCTGGCTATGATGATCATCGGAACGCTGTCTCCGTGTCCTTTATTCTTCTCCGACTCTGTCCACACCTTTGGGAACCCCTGGACCTGTTGGGGCTGGACCCCAACACAGCACAAATGGAATCTGGGTATATTACCAGTACAGTATATTTTGGGGACCTCAAGAAGAGAAGAGTTAGCCAAAATCTAAAGGTATTGCAAGCAAAGTCTGATGGCAAGTTCTTGGCTTGGCTTTTCTGGCCTCAAGAGGCCATTTAAAGTTCAATCTGTAGGCTTCCTAATGAAAAATTCCAGAAAAGCATGTTTAAAAGAGCCTATATGATAAATTGCTATTCTTGTTGTAATTATACAAACAACAGGCCAAGTTTATTAGACAAACCTATTTTGCAAACAAATTCGTCCTAATTCGGCTATCTTTGGTGAAAATGGAGATTTTTTTTCATTGATTCTAGAGAGAGAGAAGGAGTGAGAAGGAGAGAAACATTGATTGGTTGCCTCCCATACGAATCCCAACTGAGAATCGAACCCGAAACCGGGTTTGTGCCCTGATGGGGAATTGAACCCAATGCCCTTTCCTGCATGGGATCATGCTCTAACCACTGAACCACACAAGCCAGGGCAAAACGGAGATGAGTTTAGAGGGAAAATTATGTCTCAGTAATACATGTTTGTGGATATTGGATTCTAGTAATGTTCATTGTCTTTTGGGGTTTTTGTTTTCTACCCATAAACTGGACTAGATGCAGAATTCTTCTAATTTCCTCCAGTATCTTGCTATGACTCTGCAAACTAATGATTCTAATTTTTCTGCCACCCTTCTAACTTGTAACCATTGAGAATTAAATTATCCTTTTCCCAAATCCATGCAAGCTAAAGTGTGACAACTTGTAATAAATTTCAGAAAAACCACCACATCTCACCTATGGACAATCTTCATGCCTGTTGTAGACAGATCACCGGAAACATGCAAACTGTAGGCAAGGAAAATTTATCAGATTAATTGCCTAACTTCACTCCATCCAAAGATGATTCCTAGACAGATATCTAGAAATCTTGAGAACTCAGAGATGGGAACTCTTAGTCTGCTCTAAGCTTTAACCATTGTTTTTCTTTTGTTTACATAGATATGCTTTTTATTACATTCTTGATTGCTTGCACCTAGACCTCCCTTTGGGAGCCCACCTGCATTAATGTCTCCTGAAATGAGACACAACTGTTTAACTGATCTGACCTATTCTCAAGACTGAGACAGGTTTGGTGAGATAAGGAACAATCTATCAAACCCAAATTCTGCAAAGTGAAACTTCTTGGGAAGTTTCAAAGGCGAGGCTCAAGTCTGTCAGAACAGGCTTCTCCAGATAGGCCATTGTGGCATGTGAATTATTTTGAGCTGAAAGCAATAGAGACCCTGTGGGCTCAGGAGAAATTTTTACCCCCATCCCTTAAAGAATTTAAATTGAAGACCTTGCCTAAACTAAGAGTTATTACCAGATTTAACTTTTTACAACCTATCTATAGGGTAGGCAAACATCTAATTACTCAACACCTGCTCTTCGTATTGTCCTGCAAATGACCCCTTTGAAGCCCCAAGGCATCTTACCTCATCCTACACTCAGAATTCCTCATATAGCTCATTTTAACCTTGTCTCTGAACCTTTCTTGTGTGTGTGTGTCTGATTCTCTCATGTATATGAAGTTTCTATACTTACATATGTCATTACATTTATTTTCTCTTGTTAATCTGTCTCAGGCCAATTTAATTATTAGACCAGCTGAAATAAAGTTTCTTTCTCTGTCCCCAGCCCTCAGAGCCTAGACACTAACTCCCTTTTACATAGAAACAGAAAGTATTTTTGTGCCCTTAAATGTCAACCAACCTTCCAGAAATGCCACTACCATGTACATAGAGGGATGACTGTATTTTGTTTTATGAAACTTAACCAAAATTGGTTCAATTCTAGAAAATTTCATCACCCATAGATACGACTACAATGGTAGCTGTCCATGCCTGATGCTTTTACCACTGGGTCCCAATATTCTGAAAACTTCAGAATGTTTTCTCCTGTATTTGGGCCCAAACATTTACATACTGGGCCTATTATATAATTGTAATTTATTTTATGTCACCTTTATTTTACAATTAAGCAATGCATTGCTTATAAACATTGTGCGTGTGGGCGGGTTAAATTATCTGTGAGTTCTACTGCCGCAGAAGCGAGCTGTTTGCAATAGCATTCGAGGGGCCAGAGGCCCTGGGGTCTGGCGCAGGCCGCCCCGCGGAGCGGTCCTCCGCACGCCAGGGGTCGCTGTGGCA